AAATAGTTTAAGGATATGTGCTTTAAATCTATTTAAAATAACTGTAATCAATGCAGAATAGTGGATTATAACTGTAGGAGTTTAAGCTCCTTAGAATCTAAGTATAATGGAACTAACATGAGCTTTGGAGGTAGAAAAATAAATGAAAACTTTTCTGAAAAATTCACTAGTCCCAGCACGTATTTCTTTAGGTATACACACGAATAGTTTTAGTTTGCAATAGGCTAATTTGGGGACAGACTACATTTACTTTTGTCTTCCCACTAAGGGGGCTCTGAAATACGCTTTTTTCCTCTCGAGATGAGTGCTGAGTTAAGTTCTTTGGTCAGGGCCTCTCTGTCAGCCAAGAATAGGATATGCTGAGAAACCATCACTGAAGTCAAATGAAAATGTCTCCTCAGCACATGTATGGAAAACATCCTGTAATACCTGACAGACCCTCTTGAGCGAGGCTGACTGTTGACTTGAAGTCTGCCTGTGACCGTTGGTGATAAATGTCAGAAAAAGCTGCTCTGAAAGACACAGTGTTTTGTGGTCCTTGCCTGAGTTTTTCCAGTTGATTGTTCAGCCTGCCCAGGCGCTATTGTAAGCGTCTGCACGATTGACTCTGTGACACGAGGGCAGTGACGACCACCCTAGAGAATTGGAGGTCTCCCTAGGTGTGTAAAACTTCACTTAGACTCCGTGTCCAGGGGCACCGAGAAACACAACACCAACCCTCTTTTATTGTCACCGGTTCCAGTCTAAGTCATGTGTGTTCTGACTCACCTCCAGAGCTGTGCTCTGACCTGCCCAGGAAGGTTTATACCCATCCAGAGGTCGCCTCGGCCCTGGACACCACCTGAAACAATCCCGCCGTGTTTCTGAAGTGAGCTTGTTCTTCCGCTTTCCACAGTGGCTTTCACACTTTGCCCACTTTCCTCAGGCCTCTGTCCCCTCCCCCTTTTTACGCACCTCCCTGAGCGGATAACCTCCCTCCCCACTTCCAGAAACCAGAACCTAGGAAGGGAACTGCTCCAGCTCCCCATTTGCTTGTGTCTGCATCCATCGCTGTGCCTTGCGTGTTGCCACAGTGGAGGAGGTGGCCTTTCCCAAACCCAGCCTCCTCAGGTGTCTACTGGGTACCCATCTGTCACCTTTTTTTCTTTTAACTGGTTCCTGCTCATCAGCATTAAAACCAGCTCATTTCTTGTCCATTTAAAAAAAAAGAAAGAAAAGAAAAATGCCTTCCCTCAACCCAGCCCTTCCCTGCCTTCAGGTGTGTATGCAAAGCCAGTCAGTTGTCCACAAGGAAATGCTCAGCGCTCATCGTTTTTAAAAATTAATTTCGTGTGAGTCTTTTGCTTTTTATAAGTTATATAATGTCAGCTTAAGAAAACAAACCATTGTATATGTTTTTGAGGTGATTTTCTTTTTTTTAAAGCAATTTATTTATTTGTTTTTGGCTGTGTTGGGTCTTCGCTGCTGCGCGTGGGCTTTCTCTAGTTGCGGCGAGCGGGGGCTACTCTTCGTTGCGGTGCGCGGGCTTCTCATCGTGGTGGCTTCTCTTGTTGTGGAGCACGGGCCCTAGGCATGTGGGCTTCAGTAGTTGTGGCACACGAGCTTCAGTAGTTGTGGCTCGCGGGCTCTAGGGCACAGGCTCAGTAGTTGTGGCGCACGGGCTTAGTTGCTCCGCGGCATGTGGGATCTTCCCAGACCAGGGCTCGAACCCGTGTCCCCTGCTTTGGCAGGTGGATTCTTAACCATGGTGCTACCAGGGAAGCCCATTGTAAATGTTTTTAAATTAAATTTTTAAAAAGTCTCGCTAAGACCATGTAGCTTGTGGTGGCAGAGCCCGAATTCTAGTCTGATTCCAGACTCAACTGACAACTGTCTACTGCATTTGATGTGGAGGTCCACTAGTGATCTTGGCCACAGCAGATTTGATGGAGGGGAGGGCTAGACACCGTAACAGAGTAAGCTGAAGAATGGGAGGTGAGGAGACTCACCCTGGTTCTCTCCTTCACAGTCAGAGTTCTAGAAAGAGCACAATACCTGATCCACAGCAAGCACTCAGCAAAATGTTAACTATGTTGTGTTGATCTCTCGGTAACATTTGATACAGATCGTACATCCACTCAACACATTTTATGAGTCCCTCGTGTGTTGCCAGGCACTCTCGTAGGTGCTGATGGTACAGCAGTGTGTGAACAGACAAAACGCTACCTTTATGAGGACATACAGGATAACTAAGTCGAATATGCAGTATGGCAGTCGTGCTGTAGAGCAGGGGTCCCCCAACCCCCTGTCAGGATCCGGGCTGCCCAGCAAGAGGTGAGCACCGAGCCAGTGGGGAAGCTTCATCAGCTGCCCCCCATCGCTCGCATCACCGCCTGAACCATCACCCCCCCACCCCCCGTCCACGGAAGAGCTGTCTTCCACGAAACCCACCCCTGGAGCCAGAAAGGTTGGGGACCGCTGTGCTAGAGAAGGAAAGACGGGAGAAGACTTGTGTTTTAGGGTGGAGGTTGCAGGTAGAAGAGAGTGGCCGAAGAGGTCTTCCCTGAACCCTGAACTAGGGACCTGAAGGGGGCGGGGAACTGAGCCAGGCAGATTCCTGGGGGATGAAGGGGCCAGGCTGAGAGGATGGATAGTAAAGCCCGGAGCAGGGAGCTACCCAGTGCGTCCAAGAAACTGGTCACCGTAGACCACGTAGTGTGTGACTCCATTCATACGAAGTGTCCAGGATGGGTAGTCCAGAGACAGCCCTATAACGTAGTGATTCACAATTTTTATAGATTATACCCCATATAAAGTTGTTATAAAATATTGGCTGTATTTCTTGTGCAGTATGCTATATCCTTGTAACTTATTTATTTTATACCTGGTAGTTTGTACCTCTTAATCCCCTTCACCTGTGTTGGCCCTCCCCATATACTCCTTCCCTCTGGTAGCCACTGGTTTATTATCTGTATCTGTGAGTCTGTTTCTGTTTTGTTACATTCATTCGTTTGTTTTAGTTTTTTTAGATTCCACATATAAGTGAAAACACATAATATTTGTCTTTTTCTGTCTGACTTATTTCACTAAATATAATAGCCCCCAGGTCGATCCACATTGCAAATGGCAACATTTCATTCTTTTTATGGCTGAGTAATATTCCATAATATATATTGGGTGGGTCAAAAAGTGCCTTTGGTTTTTTAAGTAAAAATAAAAGACACATTTTTCATTTTCACCAAGAACTTTACTGAACAGTGTATTCATCCTTTTGTTCTACTACCTTCTGCCATTTTTCAGGCAACTTCATAATTCCACCTTCCCAAAACTTATCTTTTTGAGCAAAGAACTGTTCCAGGTGCCTTTTACAGTCTTCCAGGGAACTGAAATTTTTTCCATTAAGAGAAGTTTGTAAAGACTGAAATAAATGGAAATCTGAAGGTGCAATGTCTGGTGAATACAGCGGATGAATCAGAACTTCCCAGCCGAACTGTAACAGTTTTTGCCTGGTCATCAAAAAAACACGCAGTCTTGCGTTATCCTGATGGAAGATTATGTGTTTTCTCTTGACTAATTCTGGACGCTTTTTGTCAAGTGCTACTTTCAGTTGGTCTAGTCAGGGGTAGTGCTTGTTGGAATTAATTGTTTGGTTTTCCGGAAGGAGCTCATGATAGAGGAACTCCCCTCCAATCCCAACATATACACATCATCTTCTCTGGATGAAGACCGGCCTTCAGTGTGGTTGGTGATGGTTCATTTCGCTTGCCCCACGATCTCTTCTGTTCCACATTATTGTACAGTATCCACTTTTCATCGCCTGTCACAATTTGTTTTAAAAACGGAACGTTTTCATTACGTTTCAGTAGAGAATCACATGCGGAAATATGGTCAAGAAGGGTTTTTTTTGCTTAACTTACATGGAACCCAAGCATCAAAGCAATTAACATAAAACCAAGCTGGTGCAAATGATTTTCAGTCCTTGGTTTGGATATTTTGAGTATGTTGGCTATCTCCCGCGTGGTATAATTGATCTCAATTTTTTTTTTTTTTTTTTTTGGTACGCGGGCCTCTCACTGCTGTGGCCTCTCCCGTTGCGGAGCACAGGCTCCGGACGCGCAGGTCCAGCGGCCACGGCTCACGGGCCCAGCCGCTCTGCGGCACGCAGGATCCTCCCGGACCGGGGCACAAACCCGTGTCCCCCGCATGGGCAGGCGGACTCCCAACCACTGCACCACCAGGGAAGCCCTGTTCTCAATTATTGTTTCGATTTGATTGTATCAACTTCAGCTGGTCTACCTGCCCGTGGAGCATCTTCCAGCAAGAAATCTCCAGCACAAAACCTCGAAAACCACTTTTGACACGTTCGATCAGTCACAGCATCTTCTCCATATACTGCACAAATCTTTTTTTGCATTTCAGTTGTGTTTTTACCTTTCTTGAAATGATAAAGAATAATATGCTAAAAATGTTGCTTTTTTCTTCCATTTTCAATATTAAAATGACTACATAAAAATTCACCAATCTTGATAAGTCGTTTTTTAAATGCACGCTGATGTGACAGCTGACGCATACAATCTAACGAAATTGTTTCAAATGAAGTTAAAGACAACTAAGTGCTACTAGAGCCATCTCACGGAAACAAACAAACCTTTTGGACAACCCGATAGATATGTGTATCACATCTTCTCTATCTAGTCATCTGTTGATGGTCACTTAGGTTGCTTCTGTATCTTGGCTATTGTAAGTAGTGCTGCTATGAACATTGGGGTGCATATATATTTTTGAATTAGTGTTTTCATTTTCTTTGGATACATACTCAGGAGTGGAATTGCTGGATCATATGGTGGTTCTATTTTTAATTTTTTGAGGAACCTTCCTATTGTTTTCCATAGTGGCTGTCCTTTAGTACCCACTGCGGCGCAGAATGTACCACATCAGACATTAATCTTGCCCACAGTCGCTGTGTTCCCTCTTTTGTACCTTGTCCTCTGAGTGTGTACTATCCATCTATCTCATTCAAGGTAAAGAAACTGCTGCTATGAAGGCTGATCTCCTGAGGGCCAGGAACATGAAAAGGTACATTAACCAACTGACTGTGGCAAAGAAGCAGTGTGAGAAGAGGATCAGAATCCTGGGAGGCCCTGCCTACGACCAGCAAGAGGATGGGCCCTTGGATGAGGGGGAAGGGCCTCAAAGCCAGAAGGTGGAACTTTGTAGTTTCTTGTTTTGCCGTTTCATATTTGTTACGAACACGGCTTTAATCACATAGACAATCTTTTCACTTCTTGGTATTTAACCTAAGACATATATTCCAGAACATAGACTCACATGTTGTTCTTGTAGGGCTCTCAGTCCATCTTTCCTTCTTGACTTCCATACTGTTTTTAGTTTGCTAAATTTTTTGGCCTGAATACAAATCAGGTAATTTCTTAAAGAGAGTAAGTATTTTATTATAGTTAAGAAGCTGTGCTACAGAGTCAGAAAGCCTGGCTTTTAATCACAGGTCTGCTGGGGATTGACTTTGGGCAAGTTAGTTAGCCTCTCTGTACTCTACTTATAAAGTAGGGTTAACTGTACATACCCTACAGGGCATGATAATCATTAAATTAAATAATGCACATAAAATGGTAAGTATGGTACTTGGTGTATAATGAGCACTTAATAAACATTTGTTATTACTGGCAGTAATTATTCAGGGGTATGTTTAGTGATGTTATAAATGTAAGAGGAACCCAATTGTGGTCTCTCCTTTTGGGATAAAACATTAGTCCCAAGATCCTAATTCTCCACATTCTCATTAGTACGCCGTAGATAGTCTCATGAGTGTATCGTAGGTATTCGGCAGCTAGAGAATCTTGGGCCTGGGTCCCTCTTGGTAACATGTTGGGGGTATTAAGAGCACATTTACTTACTCTTCTAGGCCTTGTGGTCCTTTTGAGTGCTTAGGGGGTATATTTCCTAGAGAAAAATTAACCTGCTGGTCAAGGGGTAATACGCACAAAACATAAAACTAAGTTAATAGAGTATGCATCATGAAACCAGATCCAGTGGGTTTGGGAGATAGTGAAAAAGGAGTAAATAAAAATCCCTGAGGGGAATAAAGAACAATCTGCCTTCATAGGCTACCTTCCAGCCTGAAATACTTCATGGCCTTCAGCATATGTGACATCCACCAGGACAATTTTTTGTCTTCTGCCCAGAGATTATTGATTGTGGCATCAGCCCTCCCAGAATTTACCAGAAGTCTTAGGACAGAAGGAAACGTGCTGATCCAACAGAAGGAAATTAATGCAAGAGCACAGTGTTTGCTATATGGAAGCCCTTAGTAAATGTTAATTGGTATTACATTGTCTCTCTCTCTCTATATATATATTTTTTAATCATATATTTAGCAGTAGTGTCAACGTGGACCTACCCAGTCTTTTCTTTCCACTTCCACACAACAGGCTCAGAATTACTGAGATTAGTTCATCTTACATTAACACAATGAGATTGAGTTCATCTCACGTTAACACATTTGACTCAGAAGTGTGCAGTCTCCTTATCCTGGTCACACAGACCCACACCGTTAGTGTAGGTGTGAATCAGTGAAAGGCTTATGCAGGCTTCAAGAGAAAATAGAAAACAAATGGAGTAGAGAACTTGGTTAATTCACCAGCTAAGATATGAGATATATCAGATGTGTAGTTAGACTTGAGATATATTTGCTGTCATTTATTTGCATATATTTGCACTTTTAGAACTAAACATAAGAGTGTTCATAAGACACAATAAAAGAATCTAAAAGTGGCTAATTTAGAAGATGTTTTGGACTTGATTTTGCAAATATGTGGATTTGTATCTAACTTGAAATTCATTTCAATCCATGAAATTATACTGGGAAGACTTCCTTAGAATTGTTGAGAGTCTTTCCTGCTCAGCTCCTCCCCATGTTAAAAATGGATTGCTGTCTGAGTGATCTGTCATTCCCAGCCAGAGTCGACATGGGAGCCTTCAGACTTCTTTGGAGCCTGTACAGTTAGGATTTGTACCGAAAAATGCTTCGCTGGTAGGTGTACATAAAGTGAGAATACATGCTACGGTCTCCCAAAGTTAGTAAACTAAATCCTAAATATTAATGGTCTGTAGCAAGGGATCACTTTTGATTACTTAGTTATCAAAAGTTATTAGAAAAATGCCTGCCCCTTTCTGTCCACAGAACAGATTGAGGACTTACTGTCAGAGGCAGAAAGAGTTGAACATGCATTGATCATATGCACTTGATTTTAGAAAGCTCTTAACTGGTAACATTTCTGAAATTTTTCCAATCGCCACAATATTAATTTTAAAAATCCTAAATGTAAGTTTTCTTTTCGTTGCAGTATACATAGACATCATTTTTATTACTAATTAATAACTAAGGATATAGGAGTTAAACTCCTTCTAAATTAATTTGAGGCATTTCTCCTAGTTGAGTCATGAATTATTATGAAGCTCATCTGCTTTCTCATATTATAGCAGTCCATACTCAAGATTGATCTCACTGTGTCTTCAGATAGTGGTTTTTCTTTTCTGTAAGCATTCAAAATAGTAAACAAAGGAGTAATTGTGATACATCTCTACAATAGTTTTATGGGCCAATTAAAATGCATACAAAATATTTTTTTAAACGAATGTGATATTATAAACAAAAAGACAAGGTATGAAGTCATTTGTAGATTTCCTCAGCTATATGAAAATAGGATGGAAAGCAAAAATGCCAAATTATTAGGCTCCAGCTTCCTGGTCTTTTATATGTTTCTCTTCACTTTTTCTATTATTGGCACGATTGCTTTTAGCAATACATCCCATAAGGCAGGGATTTTTGTCTGTTTCATTTCCTAGAAATGTGCCTGATACAGAGTAGATGCCAAATGAATCTTTTGCTGAATGAATGAATGATTAATAGAAAATTGGTATTTATTGAATATGTGCATTTTGAATATTCAGTAAACTTTTTAAATTTAAAATTTAGGAAGGTGAGAGAAGTACTCTTTACATTGACTATGAACTTAGAAAATGAGACATTTTTTCCTGAATGTAGAAAGTAATCCATTGGAAGTTAAAGCAAACTGATATTTAAAATTTGATTTTTAAAAACTTTCTCTTAAATTTCCTTCATAGATTCTTCAATTCGAAGATATCTTGGCCAATGCTTCCTACCGAGAGCACTTTCGAACATACATGGAAAGGATGGACAAGAGAGCTCTGATTAGCTTTTGGGAGTCTGTGGAATATTTAAAGAATGCTCACAAGGTAGGATGTATAGGCCCAAAGGAATATTAATCACTAGCTGATGAAAACTTGTATGTTAGGCAGTATGTCTGTGTTTCTTAATCAAGCTGTAAGATAGGATACATTAAAAGAATACTTTAAACCAAATATATTATCGGCATTATGTTCTAGCCCATAATGGTAAATAGAATTAGATTTCATTTTTACAAAAAGTGCTTTTGAATGTGTAGTCAAGGAAAAAAGATTTACAAATATTCCCAATTATTGAATTTAGTTTCAGGTAGTTATTTTTTTAACCCATTATAAAAAAGGCATATACTTATTACCCACATGGCTGTTACAATAAATTTGGTCTTATCACCTATACTTCAATCTCATAACCTTGTTATTTTTAATATCATAATGTGCACATTTTACACAACTGTCCTCCTTTTATTTAATTTAAAATATGATTGTGTTAAGCAAGACAAAAAATAATTTTTGGTTACAGATGCCTATTACAGCACAAAGCCCAACAATAAGCATTGTGTTTTGCGCTTGGCAAGTTCTCGATATATATTTAAGAGTTAAATTGAAGAATGTGAAATATATGTGTGTGTGTATATATATATGTCTAAAAACATATATAACAATATGTACAACATATATAATACATGCATTTTGAGAGGCTTATTTATTTTTAACATTTTTATTGGAGTGTAATTGCTTTACAACGGTGTGTTAGTTTCTGCTTTAAAACAAAGTGAATCAGGTATACATGTACATATATCCCCATATCTCCTCCCTCTTGCGTCTCCCTCCCACCCTTCCTATCCCACCCCTCTAGGTGGTCACAAAGCACCGAGCTGATCTCCCTGTGCTATGCGGCTGCTTCCCACTAGCTATCTGTTTTACATTTGGTAGTGTATATATGTCCATGCCACTCTTGAGAGGCTTATTAAAGTAAGCATAAACAGCACTATGTACATTAAATTACTCATTTGCACTTCATATGAATGTTGCTAGGGCTGAATACCAACTTAAAATACATCATAAATTACAAACTACTTTGGTTAAGGAACTAAATCCAGTCTCATAGTATTTTTAAATCTTCTTAGGAATGTCTTTCATTGTTCATTTATAAGCCACAAATTACCTCATTTTACTCAATATTATATTTGCCAAATTTATTACATATATTATTTACCAGACTTGACTACAAGCTTGACTTTTGGCTGCTCTCAGAGGAATATTGAAAAGAGCAATTTAAAAAATTTTCCTAAACTACTGAAAACAAGTTGAAAAATGTCAATGCAATAAGAGGATGTAGCTTCCTCAAATAGCTGTATTTTGACCTAGCAACACTGATTTGGATGTAAAACTTCCGGATTGTTTGTTATATTCATAATATTCGTTAAGCCGTTTGTCTTCATCTTTTGCTACCGTCGAAGACTTTTCATAACATTTCTAGAGTTAATAAGTCGTCTCTAGCGGCAGTGTAAAGGTTATGTTGATGAGATGTTTGCACTTCCGAATGAGGCTTAGTACCCTTAGGCGGAGGCCTCGTTTAAGACCAAGCTGTGTAATACAAGCTTGATTACAATGTAGTAAGTCATCACTCTGAAGAATATTTCTCTTGCTTTCTTTAATTATACAGTTATTATTTTTGTGGTGCGCGGGCCTCTCACTGTTGTGGCCTCTCCCGTTGCGGAGCACAGGCTCCGGACACGCAGGCTCAGCGGCCATGGCTCACTGGTCCAGCCGCTCCGCGGCATGTGGGATCCTCCCGGACCGGGGCACAAACCCCCGTCCCCTGCATTGGCAGGTGGACTCTCAACCACTGCGCCATCAGGGAAGCCCTAATTATACAATTATTATATTGACTTTCTTCTGGAGTGAGAAGTTGGCATTTCTAATTATTTTTACTAGATGAAAAAGTCATACTGAATTTAGCTGATCAATTGTATTCCTGTGGAACTGAGATTTATGAGAAGGAATCCACTGCAAGAAGAGAACTGTTCTCATTCTTATTTTTTTCCTTCCAGCATTAAAAAGAAATTACATTTGTTAACTGTTCAACGTAAAGTGTTCCTTTTAAGGAACCAGTTGTTTTTCCAGGGTCTGACACTCACCCCTTGGCCCTGAATGTGCCCACAAAAGCCTTTGCACACTCATCCTACATTCTGCATGTCTCCCTTCCACCTTTAAAATGCAGATAATTCAGAAGAAAATAGTTTTTCTCAGAGATGGTATTACTTTCTTCATCTTCCTGTCTTTTCAGAACGAAATTCCACAATTAGTTGGTGAAATTTACCAGAATTTCTTCGTGGAGAGCAAAGAAATATCTGTGGAAAAATCACTTTACAAAGAAATCCAGCAGTGTCTTGTAGGAAATAAAGGAATCGAAGTGTTCTGCAAAATCCAGGGAGACGTTTATGAGATGCTGAAGGATAGGTATTACCCTTCATTTATTGTCAGTGATCTGTATGAGAAATTGATGATAAAAGAGGAAGAAAAGCATGTCTCCCAGTTGATTTCCAACAAGGATGAAATGGTGAGTCATGTTTAACTTTCTGCTCCCTTTTGAGTGGATAAGCTTTGAATATGATTATGTGGGTGCAGATTTTGTGAGCCAGATTTGGTGTGCACCTTTATCTTTTGGCATACAGCACTTTTTTTTTTTAACATCTTTATTGGAGTATAATTGCTTTACAATGGTGTGTTAGTTTCTGCTGTATAACAAAGTGAATCAGCCATACATATACATATATCCCCATATCCCCTCCCTCTTGCGTCTCCCTCCCACCCGTCTAGGTGGTCACAAAGCACCGAGCTGTGCTGTGTGGCTGCTTCCCACTAGCTATCTGTTTTACGTTTGGTAGTGTATACATGTCCTTGCCATTCTCTCACTTCGTCCCAGCGTACCCTTTCCCCTCCCCGTGTCCTCAAGTCCATTCTCTGCATCTTAGCATACAGCACTTTAAGTGGAACTTTAAGTTGAATTTCCTTGTTGCTTCTCGTCCTCACTTCTGTCTTTGTCCTTCTGACCAGCTGGGTACCACCAGCCGCTGCTGAGTCAGAGACCGCCCCCTGCTCTGTCTGCCTGAGCCACAGCTGGGTTTGACTCCTGAAAAGTGAGGGCAGAAAATCTGTGGGGTGGGACATTTGTGACCAAGTAAGAGAATCATTAGCACAACAGTCCAGCTGGAGAACAGACAAAAAGGACGGGGAAGAAATGAGGAGAGGCAGAGGATGCAGGAGGAGTCTGCAGGAAATACTTTGGAGTTTAAAAAAAATCAGATGAAATTAAGATATTTGAAAGAAACCTTGTCCAGCCATACCTGAAGTCTGATTTTCTTATAGTGTCCTGGGTCATTTTGGATAGCCCCAGTTGCCGTCTCCCTTTTACTGCTAATGACCTATATGAGTTTGAAGGTTTTGAAGGTACAAAGGAAAAGTGTTTTAGAATCACCTTATATAGAAAGATTGTAATTTATCTTGGATTCTTTCTTTCTGTCCAGTTCACTGTATCTCAAGCCCTGAGGAATCAGGTACTTGTTCATGATGGTATTAGAAGCAGATGTCTCTGAACTGTTGGTAAATTCATTCATTCAGACTTTTGAAAAAAAGTTTTGTTACTTGGTTCTTTACATTTTCAGTGTATAAAACCACTGAGCTAATTGGTCCAAAACTCGTTACTCCTTGCATTTTATTTTTAGGATAGCACAGCTAGAACAAACCGATCTCTCTACCTCAGAAATTAAAATGGTTAATATTCAAATGTTGTGAAAAGTTTGTCCAAATTAATACCCATCAGATAAACTGGATAAGGACTTGAACTGACAGTTAATATGAAAGGTAATAAATAGTAAACAAACGTGAAAAAATGTGCATCTTCACCCAGCATTCAGAGCAGGGTGGTATGTATCACTGATCTTTTGAAAGCTCCTACTCTTTGTTGCAGTAGTCCCACTTCTAGAAATGTATCCTATGAAAAGAACTAAAATGTAGGAAAAAAAAAGTTTATGCACAGTGGAGTTTATTTTAGGTTTTGGGAAGGCAGAAAAGCAGAATCAACCCATAGCAATAGGGATATGCCTCAGTATATTATCAATTCATAGAATACTATGCAGCCATAGCAGTTATAACTTGGAAGACTACAATACCCTCAAATATACGGCCTTGTATATTATGCAAAAAAGGCAGAATACCCTCTTGAATGTATACAAGGAGTAGGATGATGTCATAATATATATACTCATGGACAAGGATTAGAAAGAATATACAAAAATGCTTGGTGTTCTGGGATTATTAATACTTTATTTTTCTTTCAAAAATTTCTTTTACTGTTTGTTACAATTAATAAAAATCAGACGAAAAATATCTGGAAGAAAGTTAAGGAGTAAATGAACCAGAAGACAGTTCTCAGCAGTTCTTTTCATGCTGTTGCTGCTCGTGAATCTAATTACTAATATGCTATTTGCTGGTAATCTGTTCAGGTTGTTCCAAATTCTGTAGTCCTTTATGAATCTTAAGTCACTTTCAATGCTAACCATTTTACTTGTAAAATAATCTACCTGTTGATTAGTAAAAATAAGGACTGAGCAAAGTGTATACTGAAAATACTTTCACTAGTGGGAATTTGGAAATTCTATTTTAATGTATTCGTAGGTTCTGAAGATTAAGACATGCACATCTTTCTTAAATTTATTTATTATTTTTGGCTGCGTTGGGTCTTCGTTGCTGTGTGCAGGCTTTCTCTAGTTGCGGCGAGTGGGGGCTACTCTTCGTTCCGGTGCGGTGGCTTCTCTTGTTGTGGAGCACAGGCCCTAGAGCACGGGGGCGTCAGTAGGTGCAGTGCATGGGCTCAGCAGTTGTGGCTCATGGGCTCTAGAGCGCAGGCTCAGTAGCACACGGGCTTATTTGCTCCGGGTCATGTGGGATCTTCCCGGACCAGGACTCGAATCCGTGTCCCTTGCATTGGCAGGCAGATTCTCAACCACTGCGCCACCAGGGAAGCCCGGAAATTCTATTTTAAAGGGACACGCGTGCATTTTTCATAATATTCTTAGGAGCCCAAAAGGAAGCCAGGTCTTAGTGTTTTTTGTCAAAATTTAGGCACAGGACATTTGGGTTGAGTTGGGAAGATAACTCAGTTGCCTTCCTTGTTCTGTGCAGGTTCCCTTGGGTATACCATTTGGGAAATAGTGGTGTGGCCTTTCGCTAGGCTATTAAATGTTTCTTTTTTTTCACTGCAATTCCAAATACCAGTTACTTTGATTCTAAATATTGATCCTTTGCTTTTTCACTTAGCTGAGAAAAAACAGTCTACTTCTAGGCTTTCTACTATGGATTCTTAGTGGAATCCAGTGCTTTGGAGCAGTGTATTGTAATGATCTAGAACCTATACTATAGGTAATACTTAGGGAATATTCCACCACTATAAGATATGGTGGTTCACGTGATGTTTTCCCCCAGGACCCGGGAGGTGAGGCTGGTGAGGAATCTGTGGATGACGGCACCAGTCGGATTAATGAACAAACCAGTTTTGCTGTAAACAAACTACGAGAACTAAATGAGAAACTTGACTATAAGAGGCAAGCTCTAAATTCTATTCAAAATGCACCAAAACCTGACAAGAAGGTAACTCTTCTGCTTTCAAAGTTGTCTTTAAAAGTTTCCATTTTTCTAATTTGATAAATAGTAGTTTTCAGTTTATGTTGAGAAGTGTTTCTTTAAAAAGAATTTCAACTCTAAGATCCATTGGCTTTTTTTGTTTTTTGTTTTTGTTTTTGCTTCTAGTATAGAATTAGCAAAGCATTTGTCTTTTATCTATTATGATTTGGGGTTCTTTCCCATCCTCAGCTGTAACTCTGTGTCTTTTGTCCGAGTTGCCTACAGTGCCTTTGGGGAAGGGGCTGAGCTTCCCCTTGTGCCACAGTTGTTTCTGGAAGTGAGTTAACTCTGCAAGGACAGTCTAAAAAATTTTTTTTCTTTTGAACACTGCAAGTACAACTTAGAGCACCTCACAGAATTATGCAAGAAATACATTGTTTCGCTAGAAACCAACAGAATTTGAAAGTTTAAAAAATGTGAACAGCATCTCACTCTGGCATTCCTCACACCCAAGGGGTGGTGTGGCTTTCTGCTTTGTGTTCATGCCTCTTTGGTCGAAAAAGGAGGCTTCCCTAATGTAGGAATGGCTGGCACTCCTCGCTTCCCCAAAGTGATCTCCTCTGGCACTTTTTGAATGTGCGTTCAGAAGCCTGAGCGATGAGTAAGTGCAGGAGGCTGTGCTGGTCACCATGAAGAATCAGTGAAACAGAGTCTAACACCTGCCCTTGGGGAGCAAGTGTGCTGACTGTGGAACCGAACATTACAGCCCTTACTGATGATAAAATGCAGGATGTGCTTCCTGCTGGCTTTCTGAGGAGGGTCCTTGTGGGCTGCATGTTTAGGAGAGTTGAACATGCAGCCATGAGGCAAAGTGGAGGCAAAGCTGCTGTCCTCCAACTACAGAGTTGCATAACCTTATAGGTTTTCTCATTAAAAGAGATCCAAGGAGACGGTGAGCATAGAATTTTTTTTTAATTATTTATTTTTTTAAATTGTAGCCAAGTATACATAACATAAAATTTACCATGTGTACAGTTCACTGGCATTAAGTATGTTCACATTGTTATATAACCAGCAGCACCATCCATCTCCAGAATTCCTTTTCATCTTGCAAAACTGAAACTCTATACCCAGTAAACAGTAATTCCCCATCCCCTTACCCCCAGTCCCTGGCAACCACCATTCTCCCTTTGCCTCTTATGAATTTAACTACTCTAAGTACCTCCTGTGAGTAGAATCATTCAGTGTTTGTCCTTTTGTGACTGGTTTGTTTCCCTTAGCATAATGTACTCAAGATTCATCCATATGGTAGCACGTGTCAGAATTTCATTCCTTTTTAAGGCTAATATTCAATTGCATGTATATACAACATTTTGTTTGTTCATTTATCCATTGATGGACACTTGGTTTGCTTCCACATTTTGGCTGTGGTAAGAAATGCTGCCTTGAACGTGGATGTACAAATACCTCAAGACCCTGCTTTCACTTCTTTGGGGTATTGCTGGGTCATATGGTAGTTCTGTTTTAATTGTTTAGGAATCTCTGTATTGTTTTCCATAGTGACTGCACCATTTTACCTTCTCACCAGCAGCCCATAAGGGTTCCAGTTTCTCAGTATCCTTACCGGCACTTGTTACTTTCTGGGTTTTTTTTTTGTTTTTTTTTTTGTGGTATGCGGGCCTCTCACTGTTGCGGCCTCTCCCGTTGCGGAGCACAGGCTCTGGACGCGCAGGCTGAGCCTGCGTGCTCCGCAGCATGTGGGATCTTCCGGGACCAGGGCAAGCCCGTGTCCCCTGCATCGGCAGGCGGACTCTCAACCGCTGTGCCACCAGGGAAGCCCACTTTCTGTTTTTTGATAGCATTTGTTCTAATGGGTGTGAGGTGGTATCTCATTGTGGTTTTGATTTGCATTTCCCTAATGATTAGTAATGTTGAGCATCTTTTTATGTGCTTTTTGGCTATTTGTTTTCTCTGGAGAAATGTCTATTCAAGTACGTTGCCCATTTTTGAATCAGGTTGTTTTTTGTTGTTGAGTTTTAGGAGTTCTCTATATATTCTGGATATCAGCCCCCTATCAAATAAGTGATTTGCAAATATTTTCTCCCATTCTGTGAGTTGCCTTTTTACTGTGTTGATAGTGTTCTTTGCACAAAAGTTTTAAAAATTTATGAAGTCCATTTGGCCTGTATTTTCTCTTGTTGCCTGTACCTTTGGTGTCATAGCCAAGAACTCATTGCCAATCCTGTGTCATGAAACTCCTCCATGTTTTCTTCTAAGAATTTTATAGTTTTAGCCTTACGAGTAGGTCTCTGATCTATTTTGAGTTAACCTTTGTATATGGTATTATGTAAGGGCCCAACTCCATTGTTTTGCATGTGGTGATGATCCAGTTTTCTCAACACCATTTGTGGAAAAGACTGTCCTTTCCCACTTACGGTCTTGGCACCCTTGTTGAAAATCATTTGATCATATATGCAAAGGTTTATTTCTTGGCTGTCTATTGTATTCCTTTGGTATATGTCTGTCTTTATGCCAATGGCATACTGTTTTGATTAGTGTAGCTTTGCAGTAAATTTTGAAATCAGGAAGTGTAAGTCCTTCAACTTCGTGGTTCTTCTTCAAGATTGTTTTGGCTATTCAGTTTCCCTTGAGATTCCACATGAATTTTAGGATGGATTTTTCTATTTGTGCAAAAACATCATTGGAATTTTGATAGAGATTGTGTTGAAACTGTGGATTGCTTTGGGTAGCATTGAGTCTTAGCAATATTTAGTCTTCCAGTCCATGAACATGGGATGTCTTTCCATTTACTTATGTCTCCTTTAATTTCTTTCATCAGTGTTCTGTAGTTTTCATCATAGAAGTCTTTCACCTCCTTGCTTAAGTTCATTCCTAAGTATTTTATTATTTTTATGCTATTGTAAATGGAATTGTTTTCTTAATTTCCTTTTTGAATTGTTCATTGCTGGTGTATAGAAACACAGCTGATTTTTGTGTGTTGATTTTGTATCCTGCTACTTTGCTGAATTGCATAGCATTTTAGATGGTTTCATAACTCCCAGGATGTTTTTCCTGTGACAGATTGTTTCTAAGTTGAAGGAGGAAATAATTCTAATAGAGAAAGAACGCACAGAACTTCAGCTGCACATGGCAAGAACAGATTGGTGGTGTGAGAACCTCGGTATGTGGAAAGCCTCCATCACCAGTGGAGAGGTAGGTTTGTCTGCTTTTCTTCCCAGTTTATTAGGTATTTATTTCCAAAGTTTTAAGTTTGACTTTATAAGACAAGATTTTGTTCCAAATAATTAAGGTTGGGAATAGAAAACTTACATTCATTCTTCCAGACTGCATTGGTCTTGCCTTCCTCACCCCGTATTCTCACTCTGGTTCATGACTGGGAGCTGTTACTGTGTTGCCTGGTGTAGATCTGATCTCCCTCCACTTCAGACAGAAAGTTGTCCTTGTTCATTGGAATCATAAGCAACTTTCAGATAGGAACAATTAATGTCCTTGAATTACCAATTTACTTTTCCACTGAGGGTTGAAATAAAATGGAAAGCACTGCTTGAAATTTGGAGATGAAGAATTTTCAGTGTGTTTCTGATTGATCCGTCCTGCTGACTTCAGTGGCTCAAATGTCAATAGCGCTCAGATCTTTAATAATGAATATGTTTTCCCTTGAAGTAGAAAATATTTTGCTATTCTCTGAGGGATATGGGACAATAGTTTTCAGAATACACTGTATCCCTTTTCTTTTGTCTGTAAAAATAATTTCATTTAAAGGAAAGATATTTCTATGCATTTACATTGTTAGTGTTGACAACTCCTTCCTTCCCACCTGCCCGACTGTCGAAACCTGGAGATGAAGGTCAGGTCCAGCGTACCTAGAGATGATGTTACTAAGTGAAGTAAGTGAGACAGAGAAAGACAAATATCATAATGATGTCAGTCATATGTAGAATCTAATTTTTTAAAATGATATAAATTAACTTATTTACAAAAGAAACAGACTCACAGATTTCTAAAAGAAACTTATGGTTACCGAAGGGGAAACATGGCGGTGGGGCAGAGACAAAATAGGAGTTTGGGATGAACACACACACACACACTACTATATGTAAGATACATAACCAACAAAGACCTACTGTGTAGCACAGGGAACTCTACTCAATATTCTGTAATAATCTATATGGGAAAAGAATCTGAAAAAGAATGAATATATGTGTATGTATAACTGAATCAGTTTGCTGTACATCTGAAACTAACACAACATTGTAAATCAACTCTACTCCAATAAAATTAATTAAAAAAAAAAGAGAAAGTCTGGTCCACCGTATAGCACACAAATGACAAGATCCTGAGTAAGTCATTGTGACTGTTTGGCCCCATCATTGCCTCAAATGGTTGGTCAAATACTCAGCTCCTGAGATTTGCAAGGGCCCACCTGCCCAACTTATGTGTCCATCCCTGCTTTTCCCGTCAACTCAGTGGCCTGACACTCTTACCAGGGGAAGGGCTTAGAATTCACAATCTTAAATTCCCTTCTAGTTTAGGCAGCAAAACCACGCATGTTCTCCAGGAGCCAGCCTGAAAGCACACGTGTTACGTGAGAGCTTACCAAGCGCCCTTAGTGTGTCTTTGGTGCTTGTTGAGCCTCCCTTTAAGGTGAGCTGCAGAGCCAGATACCTTTCTTGAGGGGAGGTGAGGGCAGTGGGGAGGGAAGGTTGCACAGAGCCTGGAATACCGTGTACAAACGCTTGGTCACCGCAGATGGAGTTGCCTCTGGGATGGACATCTAGGAAGGGGGGAGCTCAGGGGATGTGATGTCAAAAGGTAACAGAGGAGGCCCTTGGAGGGCAGAGAACACACATTCTGTCACCTTCTCACCTTTGCGTAGAGCTGCCTCTGACATTTCACAGTTTATTATAACTATCTTCCAAAGGCAAATACTGAGGGAGGGAGGAGAGGAGGAAAAACCCTCACGAGGCCCTTTGCCCTGGTGATCAGTTATCGCTCAGGGGCTTGCCGCGACCTTGGTCCCCGAAAAGATAACGGAAATGGACCCAGAGGGGTCACCTGACTGCCGAGAGTTCACGAAGCAGCCCCGTGTGCGAACCTGTGGAGGATGTGTTTACCTCGTGCTAGCCTCCCTGGAGCTCTGAGAGGGCTGAGCCGCCGTGAGCTGTGTGCTCGCCTCCACCCCCCATCCTCCCAGGGGCATGGTGATCCTACCTGGTGGGGCTCAGCCGGTGCTCAGCAAGTTCGCTGTCTCCTTCCCTTGCCTTTCTGTTGATTCTTCGTCTCTAAGTTCGGTTCATGATGCTAATTCAAGCTTAGATTCAATGTATTTCCTTTTTGTTTCTTCTCTCATCCATTTATGTGAAGAGCAATGGTGGCTATTCTGAATTATGACAGGGTGTGTGTGTATGTGTTTTAAGAATTACCTTAAGTTGGGAGGTAGGGGAAATTAGGTCTCCCAATGTGAAATTTCTCGAAAATGGAAATCACAGCTTGTGGAATCCTGTATGAAACTGGGGAAACCCTCATCCTTCTCTGAGAGAGGTTTTGGTCTCTCACACCTGTTCGCTTCCTGTTAATTTGCTTTTTCAAGGAAACCCAGTTAGGATGGGTTTCCCAGTCTGCTATGTTAGTTTTCTTTTGCTGCACAACAAATTACCACACATTTCATGGCTCAAAACATCACCCATTTATTAGCTCACAATTGTGTAGGTTGAAAGTCCAGCACTGTCTGACTGTGTTCTCTGCATCGTAAGGCTGAAATCAGGTTGTTGGCCAGACTGAGTTCTTGTCTGGAGAATCTGGGGAAAATCCACTTCCAGGTCCATTCAGGTCATTGGCAGGATTCAGTTCCTGGTGGTTGTGGGACTGAGGACTCTGTTCTTTTGCCGTCAGCACGATGTTGCTCTCAGTTCCTGGCAGCACTCCCAGACCCTTTCCACATGGCCCTCTCCATCTTTACAGTGGCACATGTCAGACTTTTCTCGTGCTTCCTCTGATTCCTCTTCTGCTACTCGCCAGAGAAATCCCTCTGTTTTGAAAGGGCCCACATGGTTAGGATTAGGCCCTAGTTTAAGGTTGCTTGTCCATGTGGCATGCCCTAACTGTCAGAATAGAACCCATCATTTTCAAGTCCTGGGGACTGTGTGGGGCATACATGCCAGGGAGAGGGAGATCCTGGGGGACACTTAAACGTCTTGCCTACCGTATCGCTCACCGTGCTTTTCGTTGCTGTTGTGTTCGTCTGTTTTTCCAAGGTTACAGAAGACAATGGTGAACAAATGCCCTGTTACTTTGTCATGGTAAGCTTACAAGAAGTTGGAGGAGTTGAAACTAAGAACTGGACGGTCCCCAGAAGGCTCAGTGAGTTTCAGAATTTACACCGGAAACTTAGTGAGGTATGAATTCTTGTGAACACAGATTTAGAATAACTGAAGAAGAGATTTAAGAGCTCATTTCAATTTTTACACACAAAGAAATGGATTCATCTTTCTCCTTTGCTGTTGATACTGGCAAAGTGGCATTTTCAGCTTGACGTTTAGAAATTTACTTGAAGATCAACCATCTAGTCTAGTCTAAATCCTTCAGGATAGATAATTGTCTGACCTCCGTTGTATCCCCCAGAACCCCAGAGCTGGAGGAGAGCTGGGGAGCATCGATGGCCATTGGTTTCAGAGCTGCCAGTTGTGACCCACTGCGGGTAGTGAGATCAATTCTGGGTTGCAGCAATAGAAAGAGGATAGAATATATTGCATTTCATCACATAAAGGAATTGAATCAGTAGAGTGCGGTGGTTGAGAGCACAGACTCTGCAGCCAGGCTGCTCGAGTTTGGATCCAGTTTTGATCCTCGCTTTACTATTTACCAGCTCTGTGACCTGGACCTGTCACTCTATCTCTTTATACCTCTTTTTATTAATATCTGTATTCTACTGATATTAATAGTGCCTTCCTTACCTATCTCACAGAGCTGTTGTAAGAATGAAGGGAATAAGCGTGTACAGAGCATTTAGAAGAACGTGCTGCACATAGTAAACATTATTTGTTTTTGTTAGTAGTAGTTACAGTAGTAGTAATGAGTACTGTCTCATGGTACTTTTGCTTCGGTTTTATGGGTGTATATATTATAAGTATGGGTGTATATATTATAAGTATGGGTGTGTATATTGCATATATGGATGTGTATATGTCTGGGTGTGTGTATTGTATGTCTGGGTGTGTATAAGTATGGGTGTGTATATTGCATATATAGATGTGTATACTGCGTGTATGGATTTGTGTATTGCATGTATGGATGTGTATACGTTTGGGTGTGTGTATTGTTATGTCTAGGTGTGTGTACTATATAATATATGGATGCATGTATCTGCATGTGCATTGTGGGTTGCAATGTGGTATGTATTTCCTGCTGTGGATTTTAGTTTAAAATGTTTGAAAGCTACTAATCTAGGTCAGTTCTTTTATTTGATAGATGAGGGAACGTGATCCCAGAGAGTTTAACTGACTCGTAGTAGGATGTATACATAACGGCCAAACCAGGACTAGAATCCAGGTTGTCTTAGTTTCCATTCACGATTTTCCCATTTTTTTCTCAGGAGTTGCATCTTCTCTAACTCTCCATCTACTGGAGCTAATTGCCCTTTACCCCAGCAATTAAAGTGTTCTTCAGTTGTTTCTACCTTCATTTAAGTCCATTTTTCTCTTGCTCAGAATGAACTGATGCTGGTAAAACCCTACGGTCACCTCTCAGACCCTTCTTTTGCAAAGGAAATATGTGTTTCCTTTCACCTTTTCTTCTAGGGTGATTTCTTTAAAACACTTTTAATCAGTAATTTCTATCAAGAACAATTGCTCTGAAGCATTAGAGGAAACAAGCCTTATAAAATTTCACGTCTGTCCTTTTGTCTCATTATATTTCTTCCTCTGTGGCCTGATTCCTGGGTTCTTCTCTCACCTTTGGCATTTCGTATTGTGTGAGTTTTTTTCTTTTCTTACTTACTTTCTTTTTTTTGGAGTTTTCATTTTTTGAAAGAACTCTTCCTATTGACAGCTGTGATAGGTCCCTGTCGGGGCTGCTGTTACCCTGAAAACAGCAGGAGGGAAGGCCGTTGCAGGCAGACTCTGTGCTCACTTACTTTTCAGCACCAGTGATCTAGTCAGCATATTCCAGTGGCCCCAGTGCCTTAGTGAAGAGGCAGCGTCTGGAGCATTTGGAACCCACTGTCCTCCCGGCGTCTGAGGGGCAGGCTGCAGAGTCCTGCGGGCACTGAGGCCAGACTTGATGGCCAGATGGATGTGGGTTTCAGCCCCGATCCTCAGTCGTCCCATATGTAAAGTAGGGGTGACTCAGAGCCGTTACACACACCCAGCCTCTAGCACGGTGTCTGGCAGAATGCAGGATTTAATCCACAGAGGGAAGTTTATTATCTGTTAACATACTTTATTATTATTAATATATTTACATTCTGCAGTTTGCCCTTGAAAGGCAGTGATAAATCTACAACCTGAGTTATTCTTTCTTTCCATGGTCTTCTTTTGTCAACCCTGATAACTTTTTACAGAGATGTTGTAAACAGAGCACATTCTAAGAGAAAAGTTCTTGCTGGGAGCCACGTGTCCGTACCCCACACACTGTGCTCCGTGCCTGTAGTGCAGACCCACCTTCCCAGCCCAGCTCCACAATTTCCAGCTTCCAGGCATTTGTAAGTCCAGGGACAGGCGTTAGCTTTTTTCGTCACATGTCCTGTTCCTCCGGATTCCTTGAGCCTGGTTAGAACAGGGAGGTTTTCAAGGTCTTCAGTCTCAGAGGAACCTAGTATAGGAAGAGGATACTCGGTTTGTTCTTATTAAAAATCTAAAATTTTTTTAAAGATTTAAATGTAATTTCAATATACTAACATTTAATTTTTTTCCCTCACAGTGTTTCCCTTCTTTAAAAAAAGTCCAGTTGCCTTCTCTTAGCAAGCTGCCTTTCAAATCTGTAGATCAAAAGTTTATGGAAAAGTCAAAGAATCAATTAAATAAGTTTTTACAGGTAAGCAAACTTTCTGGATATGGGAGGAAAATTAGTTATTTGGGGGTTATTGGGGGTTATTGAACCGTCATCATTCTCAGAGTTTGCCTGTTTGCTTCCTGTTCTCACAGGTCAGGACAGATCCTCAAAATATCTTTGGTTTTGGGTTCTGGGGTTCGTTTGTTTTTTTGGTGATACATGTATGTATATGTGTGTATATATATGTATACTCTACAGACAGAAAATGCAGATACCATGTGTACGGCTTTCTCCAGTTTCACAAACTGGACACACCCTCATAACTAGCACCTAGTCCCAGAGACAGTGTCACCAGTCCCGCCAGCGTCACCACAGGTGACCGTGGTCCCGACTCACGACCACGCGCTTACAGCTGGTTTTGAACTTCACATGAGTGGAGTCACAGGGCGTGGACCCCCTTCACTCAGGATCGTGGGTCTGAGGTCCTCCCATAGGGCTGTTTCAGTTGCAGACCGTTCTTTGATTTCATTTTTGTTCTCGTTTTCATTGTTGAATGAGCTTCTCCTGGCGTGAAACCCCTGCAGTCTGTTCGTGCTCTTGTTGATGGGCATTGGGAGAGTTTCCAGGTGGAGGCTATTAATAAGCTGTCAGTGCTTGTCTTTTGGTGAATAGCTGCTGGGGAATCCCTAGGCATTTGGGGTTTTCAGTTTTTGTGAGTGGTCGTAGCGGTTTGTACACTCTCACCAGCGGCATGCAGGCTTCTGTTCACTCCACACTGGATGGTTTCTTTTGTTAAAGTTGTGTCTGCTCTTCTGTCGTGTTGCCTATCTTTTCCATATCGCTTTGCAGGAGTTTCGTGTGTGTTTTGGTTGTGCATCTCTTGTCAGAGCAGATGTGCTGTGGCTATCTTCTTTCTGTGGGTTGCCTTTTCAGTCTCTTAATGAGCATAAGTTCTCAATTTTAATTTAGTCCAGTTTATCCATTTTTTTTCCTTTTGTGGTGAATGCCTTTTGTGCTTGTAGAGAAATCCTTGCCTACTGCAAGGTTCTAAAGATAGTTTCCTTATTTCCTCTAAACGCATAACTGGTTTCTTTCACTCTATCTTTAGAACATAAGACCGGACAAAGGTATACTGTCTCCAGTAGCAAACCACTCTTTATTTTTTCCTTAGCTGGGGCCTCTGTATTCAGGGTATAGTTAAGTTGCTCACACCACGGCCCCCAAAGCCCGTATAGTTCTCGGGGGGCATGGACCTTTGCCTTGTGAAACACTTTTTGCCAATGCGGTAGTAGCTAGAAGTCCTGAGACTTAATAACGGATGTTGCCAAATTCTTAGTAAAGGTTATGTTATATTCAGTTGGACCAGGGTGTGAATCATAGTTAAAGTAGGTACATTTTAGCTAGAGTTCCCTTGCAAGTGTTCCTAACTATTTTTCCCTCATGTATTCATCTCTCTCTAAATATATATGTATTTTTTATAAATATATATATGTGTGTGTGTGTGTATATATATATATATATGTATATATTTCCCTCAGGAAATAAAATAATTGCACCTTTGAAAAACTTTCCGAGTTTAATTATGGCAGAGCTGGGATAGAGAATCATTAATGTTTAAATGCTATTACAGGAGAGAACTTAAAACTGAAATATTACCCTCTCGTTGCTGATTCAGAACATCTAGGAAATATTAAACCCACTCAAGCATTGTACCTCATTAAACTGTTCAGATGAACTAAAGGTCTTGTTTGTGAAACGAATATGTATTATTCAAAATCCAAGCTTGTGAAGCCCCACGTGTGTAGCTCTGGGATCTTGCAGCTAATGCTTCCGTTTCCTTCCAGCCTCTGCTGTTGGGGGAGGGAGGGTCTCGGGTTGTCTGGCGCTTCCAGCCCTTCAGCTGCCTTTCCAATTGTGCTGCAGAGACCGGGGTGCCCCCTGCACTTTTGGGGATGCAGGGAGGGGTCACTCGTGCCCCTGTTGGGTTGCTGGTGATGGAAATGGGTTAGTGATGCCTGCCCTGGTGCCAAGAGAAGCATGTGCTCTGCGCTGCCAGTAGGTGGCGTGGGCGAGGCTGGGGGCGGGGACCATCTATCTGCCTGAAGAGGTGGAAGGGGCATCTCAAGGGGCCATTTGTCTTTTGATCAAGAGGACTGTAAGTCAGAAAGTAATGGTTTAAATTGCTTTTCATTTCCTCAAAGACTTCATGTGAAAGTGCTCACTATTTAATAACTCCAGGTAGATTACACAGCAGACTGAAGTTTCAGAATATCCTCCCACCAGCTGCAGACAGGAAAAGCAAGATGCAAAAGGTTTAGTCTGAAAGGCAGATATTATTAGGTCCACAGGACCTTCCAGAAAAGAGGATTCCATTGAGTGTGTGTTTGTGTGAGTACTTATATATGACACATGGTTCCCTTCAAGGTATAGTGATAATAGATAATAATCCAGCCAGTCGTCCCTCGCACACAGGCAGCTTACTCTAGCCGTCCCCGCAGTAGTGCGGCACCCACTTCTGGGTGTGCACGTGCTGTTCGCTCTTCCTGGAACGTTTTACTCTCCTCCTCTAACACTGACTAGTCCTCTTAGAGACTCCACCTGCGTAGGACAACGTGCTCTAAGCCTTTGGGGGGAAGGAGTGGGAATTAGGATTATATTCTCAGCTTGAAGATGTGATAAAATCCCAATTACACCTTGCCCCATAGACATAATCTTGGAGAACATTTCTAAGTTCTCATACATGTTCAATTTGGTTACTTTCCCTCATGATAGAATATAACTTAGTCCAAAGACTTGTCATCCTTCATGATTTCCTTAGTTACGTTGATTGCATTATTTGAGACTTAGCATTGGTTATCATTTGCTACTATTTGATAAAAGCGTGCTGGAGTGGAGATTAGCTAAAGGAGATCAAGGTGCAGGGAGGCTGTCTCACTCCTAACCCACCCTCACGTGCAGCTGAGCATCTAATGCTCTACAAAAGGAATAAAGGCTCGGGGGCCTGCCTGGGAAGGCAGTAGTGACCCCAACTGCCTGTCCCCTAAATCTCCTTCCCCACGTCTGAGGCAGAACCTCCATCTTCAGGCCAGTCTTCCGCAGGACACAGGAAGCTGACAACCACTGGAATGCGGGGGGGGCGGTGCCCGGGACCCCCGTCCCCAGTGTGGCACTATTGGGCATGCTCGGAGGTGCTTTTCTAGGGAGGGTCACAGGGTTTATCAGATTTCAAGCTTCGTCTGAGCAAACATAATGTGAACGTCATGGACCAACTCCTCTGGGACCAGAATGTAGCCTGTTCTCCCAGCAGAGAGGGTTCTGCCATCAGAACCCCAGTGTTCCAGCCCCCCAGGGAGTTACATCATCCATGGGGCAGGATTTCTCATTGGTTTATTTATTCCTAAACCCTGTATCTGTGAGCACCAGACATTTACACGTTCTTGTGGTCACATTGTTAATTTTCCTGTCTTATCAGTAGCACTTGCTTCATACGTCAACTTGATGCACATTCTCCTTTCCTTTCTCCTAAGGCCAGAGAACTTGAGCACATTTCCAGTTTATGGGCCGATAAAAAGAGTTATAAAATTATGTGAGCATACGCTGCCCGGGGAAGGTGGAGCACAGGGACAGAAAACTCCTGGTGCCAGGCAGTTACCACCACGGGACAACCCAAAGCTCTTTTTTCAGCTCATGTACAAAGTCCGCACGCACGTAGCCATGAAAGGGTTGGGTGGGATCCTTGTGTAGTGTGCGGAAAACACCCGTGACTTTCGAAGGCGGCAGCCCCCGGACCTGCAGGCGGTTTGCACAGTGGGACTTCACGTCGCCCTGAGCACGAGCAGGGCGCTCCAGTTAACCCCCAGAGTGCAGTTTGCCATCAAGCTCGGTGAGAACTCATCTAATATATTTTATTTCAGGAGGAAAGGGAAGTGGTTTTAGGTTCAGAATTACGATGAAAGTAAATTTCCCGGGACAGTCAACTATGCCTTCACTCCTCGTGGCTCCCAGCTCACAGACGAACCACGCAGGAGGCATTAATCCTCTTTCTCCCACAGAATCTGCTTTCAGATGAAAGACTGTGTCAGAGTGAAGCACTTTATGCCTTTTTGAGCCCTTCTCCTGACTACCTCAAGGTTATTGACGTGCAGGGGAAGAAGTCCACTTTTTCATTATCCTCATTTCTGGAAAGACTCCCTCGCGACTTCTTCTCCCATCAGGAGGTGAGCTGTCTGAAGGTTGTATGTTTTTGAAGCATATTTAAGCACACGTCTTCTGGAGGCTGTTTGATGTGGCAGGTGTTTGTGGAAGGCCTGCTACAGATGGGGAGGAAGCAAATACCTTGAGTCACCATTGCTGTCATATTTGGGGACAGGGTTGATAACAAGGTAGGTGAGTGGCATGTGAATGGAGGTTCTGTGGGAGGCCCTCTGCGGAAGGTGGCCTGGCCGGCGCCCGGGACGGGGGCCGGCACCGCAGAGGGCTTGGAGCTAACGTTGAGGTTCGGGAGCAGAGGGTGCGTGTGCGGAACAGTCAGCAGGTCTTTGGGCCGAGGGGGGGCTTCGGGAGCGTGCGCTGAAAGAAATGAGGCCGAGGGTAGGAGGAGGGGCAAGGCCGCCGCGCTGAGGAGTTTAGGTTTTATCTGAGGGAATGGAAAGCCGTGTCACGTCCTGAAGCAAGATGCACCTCGCAGTGATGCGGGTGGGTGAAGGAGTGAATAGACAGGCTGCAGACATTTGCCATCTCATACCTGGCCCTCGGGCTTCCCTCCAGGGGCCCCTTACTTGGCTGAGGCCTGCGGCCCCTCGTTTGGCTCTCCAACAAGCTGCACGAGACCATCTCCGAAATGTGGCGTCTCCTTAGTTCAATGCCAGACGCCACCGCCTCTTCACCAGAATTGGTTTAACGAGCTTGAACAGAAGGAAGTAACCGTGGAAAGGAGCGTCTGCTTTGCCGCGTCCTGAGCTGGAGCAGAGCCCGCGAACCACAGGGGTTCGTCTGCCTGCCTGCCTCCCTCCTGGGCACCTCCCCGCCTCTTTCCTGCACGCCACACGTGTCACGTCTGGCCGTACTTGGCCCCTCCCCTCCGTCACCTCCCGTTTATCCCCGCACCTCTTGGGATTCACCCTGTGGCCAAGTCACTCCGGGAAACTGCTCTCGGAAGGAGGAAGGCCAGTGGCCGACCGGCAGCCTCCTGCAGCCTCTGATGCTGCTGGACGTGCAGTGAAGCCGTGAAGCTGGGGGTGCCCCTCCGGCCGCTGACTTCTCAGCCCTCTGCTCTGCTCTGCTCGTCACGCCCCCAAGGCCCTGTCGTTGGGCCGCTGCTTGTCCCCGCAGCCTCAGCTGCCCCCCGCACACATCCGAGTGAACTTCCTCAGCTGTCCTTCCACTGCCTAACGTCTGCACCCCTGTTGCAGCTCTTCACCCTGCTTGGAGAAGCAGCCACATGCATGCTGGCCACCTCCCCGCAGAGCTAAGGGCCTCTCAAAGTCGGGATCCACGTCACACTCGTTGGCACTAGCCTGGTGCCTGGCATAAATGAGTTTTCAACGGAAATTTGCTGATACGCAGATCAAGAAGTGAGACTAGCTGAAGTACAGAATAAAAGCTTGAATCAGAGCTTTAAAAATAACTAAATTACTTTAAATTATACATGTCTTTAAAAAAAACAGTGAATTTAAAATATTTCAAGTTAAAAAGCCTTCCCTTTAAAACTCAAAATGGTTAGAAAGCTGTTTTGTTATCTCCGAATTCACTCCTCATTAATACAGTGACAGAGGCTTTTCAAAATTATTTTAGACCTTGAAGGAGGCTTTAGGATCAAGCTATGCCCTGAGTTTAGATACACTTTGGCCTCTTTGTGAAAATGCATAGGTTTCTGCATGTAGGGAAGTTGAAGGATTGTGTGAGGTCGGAATTGGCCCTGGGAGGAGACCGTGTCAGCTTCCTTGGATGAGTGACCTGCTTCCTGTGACTTTACTGTTCCCCCAGGAGGAGGCAGAGGAGGACAGTGACCTGTCAGATTGCGGTGATGACGTGGATGGAAGGAAAGACTCCTTGGCTGAACCATGTTTCATGCTGATTGGGGAGATTTTTGAACTTCGAGGAAGTAAGCTTCTTTATTACTATTCAGTGGTTTTGCTGGTTAAGTGGTTACACACACACACACACACACACACACACACTCCCTTTGTTCCTGAATCAGACATGTATTTATATTCATTCAGCAAATACTTTTACAGGCCAACCAGATACCAAGGCAGGTTCTGAGGACACAACCTTAGGACAGATATCCCTGTACTCATGGAATTTAGGGTCCTGCTTTACCCTGCACCGTGTTCCTCTGTATACAGAAAGCTTGAATGCTTTGAATTTCTTTTTATGTGACTTAGCATAGCCTCATTGCTTCATCACCAAAAGGTATACAAAAGTTAATTTTGCATAGCAGAGGAAGAGCCCTGTTGTTAAAGGTGAATATGTGGCCAGGGACGCAGGGACGCCCGAGCCTTCCTTCAGCCTCCTTTCCTCCCTAGAGGACTGGTCATCCGTGGAGGCGTGGGGGCATTTTGTCCACAGGGGACACTGGCATGTCTGGAAACAGTTTTGGTTGTCACAGCTCGTGGGAGGGCGCCGCTGGCATCTCGTGGGCGGAGGCCAAGGGCTCTGCTAAAGCATCCTCCAGTGCACAGGACAGCCCCACAGCAAAGAGTTATCCTGTCCCAAATGACAGCAGTGCCAAGGTGAGGAATCCTACCCTAATAGTTCCTGAGGGGAGACGTACTTAGAAGAAACAAGAGCAAAAAGAGGATCAGAATACTCTTTTGTTAAGACCTGCGCAAGTGCCTCTCTCCCGAAGCAGTACCGGGGTGAAAGGTCAAACGGTACTTTTTGGCTTTAGTCTTGAGTCCTGAATAGGACTGTCTACCCACCCTCACCTTCCACAGTCCCCAACCTGTAAATGGCGACGCCAGCATACTCGGTCACACCTGGAGCCTCGAGTCCTAGCTAGAGGTGTGCCAGGTGCCTAAAGGCACAGCTGAGCGCCTAGCAGAGGAAGCGCACGAGAGGAGCAGGGTTTCGCAAGGCACAGCAGTGCTCCAACCGGGAGCACGTTGTTCGGAGAACGTCCTGGGCTCTGCCCACTTGGATGAGCATCTTTTCCCTTGGGGCAAAGAAGGTGGGCTGGGAGTTGGTCCTATGCAGGAAGCCGGCTGTGCATTGCTTCTTATTTATATATCCCTTAACATGTCGCTTAAAGAATTCTTCGCAGATGAAGAAACTTCAAGTGCTGTTACAGGCTTGGGCACGTCTTTTATGTCTTCTAGTCCTCGGTATCTTTACAACGATTGATGCATAGTAGGTGATCAATGAAAATGCTTGGATGGATGGATGGATGGATGAATGAATGAATAGGCAAGAAAATTTTCAGTTCCGGGATTGTTTTGGTCATTGAACTTTTTCTTCCTCTAAGCCAAATCTTAAAATAATCAGCAAACACTTTGGGAGCTTATGTTTTAGATACAGCTCCATAGGGGAAACAAACATATCTCAGAGGTAGATTCTTTCTTCAGTGAATTTACAACATAATGGTTTCAAAAATGTAATTCACATTAAGCAATAGACACAAATTCTAAACTCCAGGCAGAGATTTATATATAAGCATGTTCATTTGAGCATAATTACAGTAAGGAAAAATTGGAACTAAGCTAAATTCAGAAATGGGTGATAGTTAAATTAAGAAATATCCACATGATGGAATATCGTCCAACTATTAAGGATCCTTTCAGATGAAAAAGCTATATAGCTGGTCCGACACTTCAAGATGTGTGCTGGTGTTGAACTTGGTTCAGTACAGGCTGGAAAAAACAGTTCTCCCCCAAACCCGGAGGCTGGCTCCTCCACAGTGAAGTCTGCCCATTAAATCATGAGTCCTCCCCATGTCCCACAGAGTCGGTAAGAACGAGGAAGCACCGTCTTGGCCTTGGGTCAGCGTGTTCTCTGCGACACAAAGAGACTGAGAAGCCTGGTGGACGTGTCAGAGGCAGTCAGGGCAGGAGTAGGGCTCCAAGTCCTCTCTGTGGTGTGCATCTCCTCCCTCATGTGCACCTGCTCAGAATATTTGGTTTTGCTAGTGACTTTCCAGAGGGGAGTAAACAGAACATCATTGATAATGAGATGTGATATATTTGCCATCAGCAAAATCCTAGTGTTGCTGCAGCTGCCTCCATGGCTTCGAACGAATGAGTCCTTGGAAAGAATAATGGGGCTATTCTGTGTTGGAGTGGGGGACTAGGGAAGGGTAGGAAAATGTCGTAGAGTCAGGGGCATCAGTGATGGGAGAGAATCTGTAGCAGAGCCGTTTTGGGTTCCTGCTCTAGTTCAGTTTATGAAAATGGACCAGAAGTGTAGCTGTTTTAAACATTTATAACCAGTCACTAGGCTGTCAGGCATTCTTCCTGGAGTTGCTCGTGTCCCCAGACCCTCTGGGTCTGAGCTACCTGTCTGCTGCCTGAGAAAGGTGGAGCGAAGTTCTCATCCCTGCCAGACACACCCCTCCCAGCCGGGACGCCAGCGTCAGATGGGCACGCCTGCAGCGCGCTCTGAATTCCATCAACACTTAGGGCACTTCTGAGGCGTGGTCCTGACCCCAGGACTTGACACTTACTTGAAGGATTACCACCACTGCACCTGGACACTTAGATCCATTTTTAAAGTTAGAAATGACTTGAGAATGTGTTAAAGTCTAGCACCAAGTGTGTGTTAACTGTTGATTTCTGTTTGGGTGCCTTCCCTTGTACAGAGGTGTTTGTGAATTTACTCCTTTTTTTCTTTGGTGCAGGAGTCCTGAATTCTTGGCCCCATCATAGCCAAGACATGTGTCACTAAGCGAAACGTTGCAGTGGATGGAAGTGAATATATAAACGGAATATTTGGTTTCGATTCCAATTTGCAGACCAAAAATATCCTCACAGCATTTCTTTGCCTTCTTTTGGTTTATATTCATATTCTACACTTATAACAATGTGTCTCCTAATCTAATGCTAATAGTAAAAGTTTAGATATGTAGGACCCTTCACAAAACTCTTTCACACAAAGTAGTGCCATGACTCTCCAGCAAAACGAAAGTACATGCTAACACTGTCCTTTTCCAGATGAGGAAACTGAGGCTCGGAGAAGGCGATGGTGGCCGCCTGCTCCGGGCGGTGGTGCAGGAGCGATGAGTCCATGGCTCACTCGGAATCCTGGGGCTTCCCAGTCCCCCTTTCTTCCCCCACGGGCATAAAATATATAAAAATGCATGATCTACAAACTACTATTCAAAAGGGAGCAGTTAGACCTATCAATTTGTTAATATTTCAAAATATTTGTCAGCATCTGACTACAGATGCTTCTCATTCAGAGCCGTGTATTAGAACACTGGGTTCAACAAGCCAGGCACAAATCTAAAAGGAATTGCACTGTCTGCTAGTGGAAAACAGACGTCAGTAGCCCGGGGACACATGAAGTGAAGTTTTAGTTCCACTTGCTAGCTCAGCTGTTGTTAGGCATTGAAAAGCTGTAAGAAGTCTTAAGTTTCCTCTCATCAGTTGCAAAGTAGAAAATGAAAGCTGATTCATTTGAGTATTCCTGGGCAGAAGTTTGCTAACCTAGACCCAAATTCTGTGGATATCAAAGCCCCTTAGTGTCCAGACTTGGATTGAGTGACGTGGTTAAGATTTATGCTTTGTGCTGCTATGAAAATGTCACGATTGTGATAGCCTGTGGTAATGCTTTTCCTCTGATTTATATTTTAGTGTTTAAATGGGTGAGAAGAACATTAATTGCTCTCGTTCAGGTCACTTTCGGAAGAACCATCAACAAGTGAGTTGCACGAAACTAATGTTTGAATTCATGCCCTAGCCTTTGCCTTAATAGTCCAATTACATCCCCAACTAAAGGTGTTTTCGTTTCTCTTTTTATTTCTGATACGATTCTAAGATTGGATAGGGAAGCAGATTTCTACAAGACTGTCTCCTCCAGAATGCGCGGTGCACCAGATAACAAGCTTGGGCTGGCTCTGGCAGGCTGGTTGGCGAGGGTCAGAAGATTGTTCTGGAAAGTTCTCTGTTGACCATGATGACTGGTTTTAATATCTTGGGTACAGCGTTTTTTTATCACATGATGTGGATCAGTTTAAGGCTTAGACTCTGAGCCAAAATGAAAGTAGGATGAGCATCGCACGGCAGGTATTTATTTGAAGGGAAATGCAAACCATATATTTTTTTTAGAGTTGGGGTGATATTAAAATAGTAATTCCTCGTTAGTTGATAGCTAGGTATCCATGAGGGGTGTGTGTACCCTATAACACTATTATAAGCCATATGTGTATTCTGAATTGTATCACGTTACCCATATCCCTAAGGGTTATCCTCTATGCCCAGTACCCAGTGCTTACGAGGCTGTAGCATTATGACTTCCCCACACAAAAACTGGGAGTCAACTGCTAAAACTAAGGGGAAAAGAAAATCTAAACTAAACAAGCCCCATATTATATTTTTATTCAGTTGCAAATAGAATATATTTTCCTTGTGGTCATAAACCAAAATTTACTTCTGTTTATTTCTAAGCTTTTTTAAAAAATGGTGGGGCTTCCCTGGTGGCGCAGCGGTTGAGGGTACGCCTGCCGATGCAGGGGACACGGGTTCGTGCCCCGGTCCGGGAAGATCCCACATGCCGCGGAGCGGCTGGGCCCGTGAGCCATGGCCGCTGAGCCTGCGCATCCGGAGCCTGTGCTCCGCGACGGGAGAGGCCACAACAGTGAGAGGCCAGTGTACCACAGGAAAAAAAAAAAAAAAAAAAATGGAGTTAGTGGCTTGTTTAGTTGACTTTTAGTATCGTGGGCTTTTAAGCGGAAAAATGCCCTGTTTAACTTACAGTTTCAGTCTGAGGCAAACCTCTTAACCTTAGTACCGACAGGCCTTGGATGAAGAAGTTTTCAAAATGGCCCTATTTTTCTCAGAACTCCAGACTCGCTAACTTATTTTCTTTTTCAGTTTCAGAAAATCACGCATACATTCCCTGCTCCTATTTATGATACTGGCCCTTAATTTTAAGATGAGCAGCTGTGGTTTGAGAGTGGTGAATACATTAGGCGGGGGAGGGGCACCACGTAGGGAATTTTCAGGCTGTGGGTTTCAGTGGGCTTTCTTTTCAGGTAGAGAAATTACGGAGCATCTGGCCCTGTGCTGTTTTGCCTCAGGCAGACGAGGACACATCATAAAATTACGTAGCAGCACAATACGTGCCTCTCGCCTTCTGCCAACTGTAATTTCACATCCCAGAATTGCTGCAAAAGCTTCCTCCAGTTTTGGCTAATACAAAGTCAGACCTAAGTTGATAGAAAATGCTTAGGTGATGGCCTTTGGTAAGTCACTCACCTAATTTTAAGTTGCAAACTGAAATTTTCCTTCTTCATTTCTTCACACAGTGCTGGTGAGTAACCCAAAGACTACAGGCAAAACAAGCTGTGTTTTTGTGTAGATTTTTACTTAGGCAGGTCAGCAGGTTCTCAAAGCCAAAGCCCCATTGAATTAATAAAATTATTTTATTTGATCTAGATATGAATTGCACAGTTCTGAGCAGTATCGGGAAGTATCTTAGGAGACATGCAGTTACAAACAGGATTACCATGGTTCTGACTCACAGTGGAATTTAGACTTCATTGGTGACTAGTTACTGTGTGCAAAGTGCTGGGCTTGAAACATCTATTTCAGATATTATTTCTGAAAACCTCACATTGTCCCTTTAAAAATCTGGTTGGGAAGTCAGATTCTTAAAGGGCTTTTTGATTTATTATTCGTGAATTAAGTTTGAAACTTCAGGTCTTTCTTGCACTAATAGTCCAAGGTGATTCTGCTCCCATTTTCTGCAGAGAGACTTCCCTTCCCAACCTCAGCAGCGCTCCTGGCTCCGTGAACTGTGCTGCTCTCTGCAGCAGTCCAGTGGCTGGCTGGAATTTGATGAAGTAGGGTTTATGGAAGACCTGGGTAACCAGATAAAAGCCGCTTATTTATAACCGTGCAGGTCAAGATCTGCCCGATTTTCACTCCTGTGGGAAGGTGACGTGGCTGGATAGCATACACTCTTTTCAAAGTCCCCCCCTTTGTGGTGAAAGGGGGGGGTGTCTTTTCCCCCTTTGCCCCGTGAGCATGTGAGATGTTTCCGGGGTCAGACAACTCTGCCCAGCATCCTCTGCCGTGGCCGCCCCAAGGGACAACTAGTGAAGAAGCGTGGTTCTCCCCAGGACTACCAGAGCTCAGGGAGCTCTTCAGGGAGCTCTTCACGGTCTTTTAAAACAGATTGATGCTTTCAGTTTATACCACTTCATGGAGAAATTAGTATGTTAAGTACCGTGCACAGTTAAGAGTAGTTGCAAGCTTCAAACAAATCAATCTCCTCTCAGTTCTTGCTTTTCCAGATTGAAAGACACCGTGCGGCAAACATTTAGAGAATTCAGTACCAGTGAAAACGTGAGCTCCAGGAATGAATGGCTGTCAGTGTTACCAAAATAAAAAAAAACTTTCCGAGCCAGAGTTTAAAAATCCAATTCCTAGTTTATTCAGCAAACGCTTATCTTAACCTACCCATTGATAAATGCCTTGTGAGAATAGAGAATAAGATTTTTAAAAACCTCATCCAAGAAATATTTTGCTCTTGAAAGACAACTCCGGGACGCAGTGGACTGGGCTCTCAGCGAGCAAATGGTGGTCTACTACATCGGCGCTCTCCGGGATGCTTTGTGGCCCGGTGGGAATTTGGCACCTCCGAACACAATCCCAAGTGAAGAGCAAAGCCAGGAAACAAAGCGGAGAGCACAGCAGAAGCTGCTTGAAAACATTCCAGGTGAGGCCTGGGCTCTGACCCTGAAAGTCACATGAAAAGGGAGTGTTGATGGCCCTTCTCCTTTTTCACTTATAGTTTGTATAAATGCCTTATATTGAAAAATTCTACATTTTCTCCTTAAACATTGGAAAGAGCTGATCACTCATGTTCCTCGCGTCTGCGTGCCTTTACGTGCTGTGTGTGCGTATGTCGTAGCCCCTCACTGAAGGTCCGTGCAGGGTGCACTTCATCAATAGCAGCGTGGAATATAAACTTAATTTTTCAGATATGCTTCAGAGCCTTGTTGGACAGCAAAATGCCCGTCATGGTATAATAAAAATATTCAACGCACTGCAAGAAACGAGAGCCAATAAGCATCTGTTATATGTGAGTAACTTAAAGCCTCCCAGAGGATTCAGTTTCTTCAGTTGTACGTTTCTGTTCATATACGGGGGTAGATTTTAACTCTTTATATGCTTAATCATTCAGAATGATTGTAACTCTGAACCCATTTTCTCTGCTTCATTTTTGTTCAATTTGGGTAAAAAAAATACCCGCCTGTGGGTGCGGCATCCCCCTCCTCGCCTGCTGGCTGTTTCTCTCAACGTGTGCTGTAACATTTCTGCCTGAGTGCTTGGCTTGCTTATTTCAGCAAACTGTTTCCCAGTAGTCTGATAATTCTGTTGCTGGTTATAACGGACCGTGAAATAAATCAATCTGATGCTAAATGGAGTTTATAGAATACTAATTCCTTTTAACCCTTAGAGAAAAAGACATTTTTTTTTTTCTTTCTTGGTTCAGGTGCTGATGGAACTGCTGCTAATTGAATTGTGTCCTGAGCTGAGAACTCACTTAGATGAACTTAAGGCTTGTCAGGTTTGAGACTCCACAAATAAACCATCAGAGAAATGTCTGTAATAATAGACATGAAACATTTTCCTCTTTTCCACAGAGGGCTTGACTGAGAACCATACCGATCTTTTAGTTACCTCCCTCTTGTTCTATGTGAATTAAGCAGAATTGGGGGGAAAACTTGATGCTGTATATTAGGCAACAGAAAAAAACACTTGTTAATTATTTTTATTTTAATATAAATCCTTTAAAGGTCAACATACTGATTGAAATATAAGTGTTAATATGTGATAAGAACCTAGGAAATATTTTAAATATTTATTAAGTTTTGTTTTAAAGTTTGTTTTAAATGAATTATGAACGTTGTACAGTTGATTTCCTCACTGAGGAGTCTGAACATTCCTCTATTCGTGTGTGTTGAATACTGTTGTGCAATGCTTTGTGTGAAGTTATTGTGAAAATTTTATTGTCTTTATTTTTACCAAAGATTTCCCATAGTTTGAAGCATCTGAAGCAATAAAATATGAAAATGAATCATAGCTCTGCTGTTTAAGACGCTTGTATCTCAAAACAAGTTGAAACACTTAAGATAGTTCAGATACTTATCAAGCGCCTGTAGAAAACATTGCACACGTAAGTACTTCCGTAAGGAAGAATAAAGTTTGTTGCCTTTCTCCAGACACAGAATGAATGTGAAAAATATGATTTTTAGTGTGAACGAGAAGAGCCAAAATTGGTGCTTGAAGTGCTGTTATTAGGGAGGTGGGATGGATGGGCAGGAATGAGATGGGGAAACAAAGAGGAGGGAAGTTACTTCACGCTGTTCAGGACTTGATTGTGTCATCAAGTCTTGGGGACCAGTAGGGGCATTAGGCGAAATCCAGGGTACAGATGTTGCTTTGTTTTTAGTAGTGGGACCATGGACAAGTCACTTAATTTTCCTGGGTTTTACCATTTATTATGCAGTGATAATGAAACACTTTCCCCTTTCTAACCCCCAGGAATATTGAAAGCAAGCCAATTAAGCAGAAATCCAGTTTGAAATCCATGAAAGAAACATACTATGTATATATAAAGTGGTATTAATTATATCATTGTTAGATCATACCTGCTGAGTTCCTGATATGCCAAGTTCTTGATATGAAACATAAGTGCTGAAAGACAAATGGTTAAAAATTGGTAAAGCAAATTTTATCTTTGATATTCTTTTAGCTACAGCTCTTTGATCCTTATTTCAAACCAAGATATTTGATACTTTCGAAAAAACTCAAAGTTGGCTATTTATATGGATAAGAATTATCCTTCATAGGGATGTAGAAAAGACATTCAGAGAAGAGAAGCAGTGTGAAGTCACCAAGCCCCAGGAAATCATAGCAGTTACTAAAAGTGACCATCTTCTGCATAATTAAACCATGGCTGTTAGGACTCCTCAATCCTTAAGAAGTCGTCTTACTTTTTCTAAGTTATCAACTGTAAGGACTCTTACAGAAGTTTTGATTTTTTTTTGAAAAAAGTTAATGACCTTGAAGCTTCACCTCACTTAAAGGGTGACTCCAATCACAGATCAAGGTGTGCACCATGTTGGGAGTAGTGGTAGTTTGCAGGGGCTCACCTGGGCTAGGTTTGCCAGCTTTATGGTAACTAGAGTAAACTGAAATTTTAAATTCTGTGTTGGGTTCACTTAGGACATTTAAGCACAGCATATTACCAAATATGACATGTCAAATTCCTACCTTTAGGATTTCTCAAACCGTGTTTTAATGGCAGTTAAAGTGGCCTTCACTTTGGGGATGTAGAGTGAGCGAGCTATGAAAGTGCTATTACAGTCCCCATACACTGCCTTATTACATTTCTATTTTAAGATTCTTAAAGGCTTAAGGAACTGGATTGAGTTTGGAGAAGAGAATACCGTTGGAAATTCGGATCTTCAAACCACTGAAGGAATGTTCTGTGGATGTTATTAAGAAAACAAGAGCAAAAGCAAGTGGGCTTGTATTGTAGAACGATTTACGTTAGGTTTTATGAAATCTTTTAACGGGCTAGAGACATGGAAATGTTGTTACTGGGGAAGAAGAGAGTCTTCAGCAGAGATTTTAAAAGCAAAGGAATGGGTTTCAGGGATTATTTAAGTTTCTACTCTAAGATTTAAAGGAGAAGTATATGGCCTATGTTTGTCTTTAGATACAGGGAAGAAATTTCAACAAAGTGAAGTTCAAATAATATAGACAAACCAGAACATAAAACAAGAGCAAGTAGTTTTGTCCCATATAATACTTCTTTAGTGACAGGCACCTACATATTAATTGCATTTTCCCAGTGCTAAGACTAGATCTTATAAATCACTTTGGAAAGGATGGTTGTGATTTTTAAAATAAAGCCATAACATTTACAAAGAAGGTGTTGTTCAGGTATCTTAAACGTTATTTTCAATATCTGTTTCACAGATGTATATTTCTTTAGAATCTTTTGCATATGGATTCTATTTTTACTGTCGGATTTTGCCTCTGTAGATGTAATTGATAAGGAAAGCCTCTTGCTAATTTAACAGTTTAGTTATAGTTATATTGGTAGATGATTTGAAATTTTATCTTGTTTTGAAATACATTGAGGGTTTTTAAAATGTAGAAAAGGACCTGAAGCACAGAGAAACATCTTGTTTTAATTGATTACCAGGAACATAGCAGTTTTACTCATTAAGATGTTTAGGGGAAGATATGGAAAGGCAAGATTGTAAGCAATTTCTTAAACCCACTTATTTTGAAATTTAGATTTTTAATTTTCAATTTGGAATTTTCTATTTTAGAAGTCTTCGATGACTGAAATAAAATTAAAAGTTATTCAAAATTCACAACACTAAGGATTAAAGAAATTTAAAGAATTAAACTTCAGATTTTTTAAAATAAGTTTGTAGCATTTATACTTCTGAAGTTATTAAAGCTAAGATGACACTAAGTCTTTCAGGACACTATTTAAGAAAGGAAAAAAATACTTGCTTTATGGAATGGTTTTCAATATTTGACATGGTCTTGGTCAGTCTCTAGCCTAAGAGCTGGATCTCTGAAGACTCTTCCTGCAGTTCGATCCTGTAGCTACGTTTCAAGTTGCAACATTTTACAAATTCAAGAGGGGTGGGATAGGGAGGGTCAGAGGGAGACACAAGAGGGAGGAGATATGGGGATATATGTATACGTATAGCTGATTCACTTTGTTATACAGCAGAAACTAACACACCATTGTAAAGCAATTATATTCCAATAAAGATGTTAAAAAAAAAGAATGAAGGTAACCTGTCATCAGTAAAATACCCAGGATAATGTAACATGGGAGAGCGAAAACAAACATAGCTATTATAAAAATTATAAAAATACACACATTCTAAGTTGTTAGGATCGATGATCTTTGTTGAAATACATTGTAGTCTAAATTCTCTGACGAATAAGTAAAGTGTGAAGTTCATCTGCCAATGAAGGATTCAGACAACAAGCCTTAAAAATCAAAGAAAAAGTTTAGACATATTTTGAATTGTTGGATCTTTTGTTTTTAAGAAATAGAGTGCAATGATTTAAGGGAATTTCATAGTTATACATTTCTATTCTGATTTCTTAATTAGGGAGATTCAAGTTAACCTGTGCAAAGTATTAGTAGATCATAACTAAAAATAACCATGCTATTATCCTTTGGGAGAGAAAATTCTCAGTGCTAAAAATAATGGATTTACACACTGATAGTATTCTAAGTTATGAATTATCAAAATAAGTAAAATAGAAAGCGTTAACATTTGGCCTCAAACCTGTTATGTGAATAGCAGCATGTATAATTTTTTAAACATATGATATTGTTATGCCTAAATTAGCAATAAGGTGCATAATTTCATAGTATGCCAGGAATTTGAAAGACAGAAGTTACCTCATCCAGACCTTACTCCATGCAGAAACTGTCCCTTTTAGTACCCATGACAGTTGGTTACCAGATGTTTGCTTGCTTGTTTCTAGTGGCAAGAAGTCAGCACCTTGGCTTCTGCACACGGCGGCCCCCCAAGCTGAGGTGTTGGCACAGCCATTTCACACTAGGTTCAAGGCCTCTACGTGTGGCACCCTATGAGCTAGTCAAACTAGAATAAGCACAAAAGGAAAAAGAATGGGACTTAAACCATTGGTTCTCCTGGTTCTCAGGCCTTCAGACTCAGACTGGAACTAAACCACCAGCTCTTCTGAGTCTCCCAGCTTGCAGATGACAGACAGTCTTTGCAGTCCCCATAATCATGTACAAATTAGTATATATAGGGGATGAGGATAACATGGCAGACTAGAAGGACCTGAGCTCACCTCGTCTCACAAAAACACCAAACTCGCAACTAACTGCTGAAAAGCACTGACGAAAAAAGGTCTAGAACCTACCAAAAAAGATAGTCTACTTCGAAAAACAAAGAAGCCACAACAAGACGGTAGGAGGGTTGTATTCACGATACAATCAAATCCCATATCCACTGGGTAGATGACCCACAAACTGGAAAATAATTATATTGTGAGGTTCTCCCATAGGACTGAGAGTTCTGAGCCCCCATGTCAGGCTCCAGTGGTCTGGCATCGGGAGGAGGAGCCCCCAGAGCATTTGGCTTTGAAGGCCAGCGGGACTTGATTGCAGGAGCTCCAGAGGACTGGGGGAAACAAACACCACTCTTGGAGGGTACACACAAGGTCTCATGTGCACCAGGACCCAGGGGAAAAAGGCGTGACTTAATAGAAGCCTAGGCCAGACTTACCTGCTGGTCTTGGAGGGTCTCCTGGGGGAGGTGGAGGGCAGCTGTGGCTCACCACGGGGACAAGGACACTGCTGGCAGAGGTACTGGGGAGTACTCATCAGCGTGAGGTGTCCTGGAGGCTGCCATTGCACCGCCAAGACCTGGCCCCACCCAACAGCCCAAGGCTCCAGTGCTGCGAAGCCTCAGGCCAAACTACCAACAGGGCAGGAGCACAGCCCCACCCATCAGCAGACAGGTTGCTTAAAGTCTTCCTGAGCCCACAGCCACCTCAATACACCCCTGCCCATCAAAGGAACAAGACCCAGCTCCACCCACCACTGAGGAGACATCAGTCCCTCCCGCCAGGTAGCCTGCACAAGCCTGTTAGATCAGCGTCACTCACCGGGGGGCAGACACTACAAGCAAGAGGAGCTACAATCCTGTAGCCTGCAGGACGGCAAACACAGAAAGTTCGATAAAATTAGATGGCAGAGGAATATGTTCCAGAGGAAGGAACAAGATAAAACCCCAGAAGAACTAAGTAAAGTGGAGATAGGCAACCTACCTGAAAAAGAATTCAGAGTAATGAAGTAAAGATGATCCAAGGTCTCAGAAAAATAATGGAGGCACAGACCAAGAAGCTACAAGAAATGTTTAACAAAGAGAAGATTTAAGGAACAAACAGTTGGACAATACAATAACTGAAATGAAAAATACACTAGAAGGAATAGCAGAATAACTGAGGCAGAAGAACAGATAAGTGAGCGGGAAGACAGAGTGGTGGAAATCACTGCCCCGGAACAGAATGAAGAAAAAAGAAAAGAAAGCAGGACAGTCTAAGAGACCTCTGGGACAACATTAAACACACCAACATTTGCATTATAGGGGCCACAGAAGGATAAGAGAGAGAGAAAGGGCCTGAGGAAATATTTGAAGAGATAATAGCTGAAAAATTCCCTAACATGGGAAAGGAAACAGTCACCCAAGTCTAGGAAGTGCAGAGAGTCCCATATAGGATAAACCCAAGGAGGAAAATGCTGACACACATTAATCAAACTGACAAAAGGCAAAGACAAAATATTAAAAGCAACAAGGGAAAAGCAACAAATAACATACAAGGGAATCCCTATACAGTTATCAGAAACTGCAGGCCAGAAGGGAGTGGCACAATATATTTAAAGTGATGAAAGGGAAAAACCTACAACCAAGAATACCCAGCAAGGCTCTTGTTGAGCTTTACAGACAAGCAAAAGCTAAGAGAATTTAGCACCACCAAACCAGCTTTACAGCAAATACTCCAGGAACTTCTCAAGGTGGAAAAGAAAAGCCCACGACTAGAAACAAGAAAATTACAAATGGGAAGCCTCATCAGTAAAGGCAAACATACAGTAAACATGGGAAATTATCCACACA